CCCCGCTGGGAGCCACGATGTTGACGTCCACTTTGGTCTCTTCGCCATGAGCCATCGCGGCAGCACCGCCCGCAGGGATTTCTTGTCACACAACAGATGAGCGGAAAAGCAACGATGACAGCGTCAAACAGAGAAAAAAAATCGAAATGAAAGCTGGGGACCTGTGAAGCGGTCAGTTCATTCCGGCTCAAGGAAGAAAGGAGCTTGGTTGAAAAATGACACGCACCTCGAAAGAACATTCCGTTCCTCAAAGCGTCAAAAATTCAAATCGAAAAATGCCCAAACGTTCGGAATATGTTCCAAGTTTTGCCCCTGTTCTGACTGAACCGCCTTCCAAGTCAACATCGCGCGCATTCTTGTCTTGTCTTTTTTTCTCTACGCCAACAAGCAATACATAGATGCGCCGTCTCTTCCTTGAACACAAGTACGGATGGGGTACTGAAGTGCACGCACCACGGGCACTTGAGCATCCTTCTTGTAAAATAGAATGGCATGAATTGTTCTCAAGCGGTATGACACGTGACACGGAGCTTCCCTGTGGAGAATGTGGTGTCCAGCGGTTGTTCTGGTATCCAACGATCGTCAACCAACCGACCTCGTACAAAGAGCGTAACTGTTTTTGTTTTCGAATTCGGTGCTGTTGCCTTCATCAGAACGGAGCCCTTCCGGCAAACCAAGAATCCGTCCTACTTCACAACACTTCGTGTGTGCTTATAATTCTGTACATGAATGGCAATGAGAACCGTTTTTCGACGAGATGGGAGGGAGGGCCGAACGAGCCAGCGGGACTCGTCACCAAAAGGCACTGTATGCATACATAGAAACCAGTAACCCCTATACGGCGTACCTCTGAACTTGCACCGCAATTTCCACCACATGGAAACAACACAACAGGCCCGAAAACAACGAAGAAAAGTAGACCATCCTAAGGATAAAACAAATAAACACTTCTCCACCGGAGTGGGGGGCACATGTCGTTGTGCAAAAATCAATCAGAGAGTGTACGCAAACAGGAGGGTGGGTGAGGGGGTAACTCATAAAACCGCGGGGTAGAGCTGCTTCGAGACCCGAGACACTCAAAAATGGCAAGTTATCAACTTTCAGGCCCATGTGTATACAAATACACCGGTGCTGCCGGGGGTCCTCAGATAACGCCTTGGCTTACTTACCCGGCTTGTGCGACGCTCCCGTCATTATCTTGCCCGAAGTTCCGCCGCCGATCCAGTGGTAGTCGTGCGACCCATGCATGACCGGCTTACCTTCTGCTGATCCCGCGTGGTGTCCACCTGTGGATGTATTTATGGCGTAACGGGCAACTTCGTGTCGATACTCCCTCTGCAAAAATAGTATGAAAAAAAAAGGTGGAGCCTACACCAAGGTAACATGACATGTGCCTTCATCTTTGAGTCGCCCACGGGATGTGTGGGGGAAAGGGGCATGGCCTTCTGTGCAAATCGATGGTGATCATACGTTCGACTAGTAGGGGTACAAGGATGGAATCCATGCGATGCTGCTGTGTGTGCGAGCATTTGATGTAGGTACTTGATTTCGTTACTTTTGTGTCTGGCCTCGCCTGAGCATTGACTTAGGTACTTGATTTCGTTACTTTGCGTCTGGCTCTGGCCTCGCGTGTCGGGTGGGAGGTGGGAGGTGGGAGTGGGCTGCGATATCAATCTCCTCTCAGAATTTCCTTGTCGCATGGTCCATTGCGTTTTATGGCGAAAACACATTCATCGTGAGCATGTTGGTTTTGTCTGGGTCCCTATGCATATGTATCGTCTATATGTTGTTATATCTCCTTTGTTGTTCGGCGAATGGCCGAATGCATGGTATGTACCACCCCCTTTTCAGTAAAAGGCCGCCTGCTACCGACAGACGTCCGCCGCAACAGCAGAACGGAAATTGACAGTAAGTACTCCGCAATATATATATTTGGACAGCGAATTGAAGACAACAAAAGTTGAACAAGTTGAACGGTGGGGGTGAACGACGCCGTCGGAGGTGACATGAACAGATGGTCGATATTCTCGGATATCCATGGGTTTCTGTTGTACGGACGTTTAGTTTTAACGTCTAGTAACTTATCAAAATATCCATCCACGAAGTGAAGGAAAACAGGAGTACCACGGAATACCCGCGACCAGGTTCCAATGGCAACCAGCCAACCAGCCAGCAGCCAGAGAAAAAAATGAGAGAGGAGAGCCGAACGTGTCACACCTGTCACACAGAAAAGTGTCAACCCTTCGGGCAAGAACGCTCCGCAGACGCACTACAGCAGTAGTGAACTTTGTGCCGACTCAGCCTGGAAATAAGAACACCTCCTCTTCGATTCTCGAATTTTTGTAGCTCTAGGAGCACTATCCCTTGTCTGTGGTCGTTTTCTATTACGATACAGCGACTTCTCCCTCTCTTTCCGAAAGCACGAAACCTATGTGTGGTGGAAGTGCCGTTTACGACGGCTCTATTTTTGCACCATTGCAACATATGGTTGTACAATCGTAGACCGCCGGCGGCCCCGGGAATTTGCGCCAACACCACGCTGTAGCATGGCCGTAGCATTGAGGGGGACGAAAATCAGAGGACTCACGTACAACCACAATCATGGGGTACGTCGCAGACGTATGATATGGGTCTGCTTTTTTTTCTTCTTCTTGGATAGGGCAGCAGAAGGGGGGCCCGCACCAACAACACGACCCAAGAAACTGAAAGTATTTTAAGATTCGACGTACGCTGGTAAGAGAGTCGACGTGCTGCGCAGGTGTACTGGAAGAAGACACATATTTTTTTGGTCTCCCCCCCCCCCCAAACC